AGAGAGAGAGAGAGAGATGGATTACTCTCAGATTAGATTGCTGCTGAGCACAGTGAAGAGCTGTAGCAGGTCTGCGTTGGCAGGCTCCGTCACATCCATACGCACTAAGCTCCTGTCGACTCCTCGACAGATCCGTCATACGGGGAAGTCACAATGGAGACATCAAAGCGGCTACAGCTCAATGGAACAAACAAGTAGACAAACACACACACACAATGAAGCCGCTAAGAAACCCACCTGCCAGCCCACGCCTATCTGCCAACACGCATGACCTACGGCTCACCGACGCTACCGTTTCTAACAGACTCATTTCAGTTAGCAACACCGTCCATCAACAGGGAATAAATCTGCAGCAACAGTTTTTACTAAAGCTAAAGTGACAAATAGAGCTCAAACTATTATTTCATTATTCAAGAAAGTAATCTGCAGATTCATTATTAGCATCTCCAAACAAGAATATTATGGACGTTATGAGACCAGAGCTGGCTTTGTAAATGTGTCTAATTTTGTCAATATAATCAATACGATGAGAACTTTTAATAATTATACATTAAAGTGGAAATCAAACTCATTTATTGTTATCCACTTTAAGGATACTGTCAACATTTACTATTTTGAATGAAAATAAATAAAGTTTACTGGCATAAATATCCTGATGTATTCCACTTGTATGTTTGTCTTTCGCTCATGTTTTCTTTGTTCCTTCTGCGTCTTTGAGGTTTTATTAGCATTTGCTCATTCTGAGCATACACTTGAATTACTGTGCATATACTCTTATGTCTATGTGACGTGTATTCCCAACTTAAATGCATGTTTAAGTTGGGAATAAAGTTTGGAAGTAGTATAGGCATACGTAGCTATGCTAATCCTTGCAGTTAAATACAGTGGTTGTAGGTTTATACAGTGAGTGTGTGAGTCTCTCTCTCTCCTCCTCACTTGCCCTTTCATCTTTCTAATCTCAATGTATAATGCAGTTATGGATGAGAAATGTTGCTGGCAGACATAAAAACACATCACAAGCCACTGTTTTGCTGCATGTATAATGCAGAAATGAGATCATCTTCTGAGGAATATCATCAACTGTCCTCTAAGACAGTGATGGTAAAGTCAATATGACTGTGATAATCTCATTTTACAGCCTGAAAGGATGCATTCGGAGCAGCCTGCAGTACATTTACATACAGTGTTTGTGGTTTCAAGTATTGTAAGTTTAGGTTTGTGCTCAAGTTTTATTCCACAACAAGGTTTGACTTCACAACCAAAGGTCACATCCAGTGTACTTCTACATCCAGAGGTCACATTTAAAAAGGAAAACTCTGGGATCATGTTTCATTTAAAGAAATACAAAGAAACTGCAACCACAAACAAAGTAGGGATGATTTAACTGTGTTTTAAGATTAGATAAAGATAAAATATGCTGCTCAATATTTTCAGTCCTCTACTTTCAACATGCATCATTTCCTTTGCCTTAAAGAACGTAAACACATTGAATGGCCACTGCAACGACACATCTGCACAGGACAAACATACATATTAAACAACTGATTATTACATGTCTAACGTTTGTAACTGTATGCTACGTCACACACCAGCTTAAACACAAAATAAATCATAGTGAGCGCTAGTGTTGGCGACTTCTTCGCTAGATTTAGCAACTTTTCTAAAAAGAGACTACCGACAAATTTAGTGACTTACACAGACCATCGTGGAAAAGTAGAGAAATATATCCTATTAATATATATAATATACCTTATTATAAAACCTATAAATATATTATATTCATTCCCATGCATGCGGCTCAGAGTAATCGCAGCTCTCCCTCTTCTCTTGTGCCACACACAGGCACTCATTCTTTCTCTACAGGTCTCTGGATTAGGGTGTTCCTTTAGATTAGCCTATATGGAAATACTTCATTTGAGCTTGTAAATATTTAAGCAGTTCATTTAATCCCCTCCGTTTATAGGAGGTTTTTTTTTACTTTTTAACTTCAAACGTACAGCGTATCTGTGGATAAGAAGTGTGTAAATTCCCATCCGTCTGCATTACTGCAGTGATGCCTTTATTGATCAAACAGTGAAATAAAACAAAAGCACTCACTGAACCAATGACTGAAAGAATAATGAAAACTGATTGTGGCCAAAGACATTTTCTACTCAGATATAAATGCAGGAAACAACTAGCAGAACTTCAGAGCAGAGTGAGTCAATAAAGTGATGCCAGTTACTATATTCATCATTATTTGGGACAAAGGATGTAAAGTCTGGGTCTTTGGAACAGTTGCGGGACACGGAGTAAAAAGTTCATATTGAGCCGTGTGTCCTCTGCTGCCCTATACTCTGGTTCTTCCAACCAACCAAAACTAACAGGCAACAGTAAAACAGGTCACAGAAAACTGACTTTGGGCTTAAGGCTGTCCGGTGACCATAGCAATAAATACAACCAATCACCTTCATCTGTCATCTGTCCTTCCAGCCCAGGTGCAACTGGCCAACCCCCAATGGGTTCAAGTTCAATTCACATGCACGTTTTTAGGTGACTTTGACCAATAAGTGGCTCTCAAACCTGACACCTGACTGAGCAGAGGAGGAGGAGGAGGAGGAGGAAAGGAAACTATCCAGGCTTTACATACTGTAAACATCTACAGCGTAAAGCGCCCTGGCGAGCGTAGTGAAGGTTGAAAAGTGGGTAAAGAGTTCCTTTGAGCAAATCTCTCTGCTCCTGTCGTATTGTAGCCAACACATGACTAATAACTGGATCCCAGAGCAAGTCACAACAGAGAATAATGCAAAAGGTGAGGCTGCTGCAGGCTGGCACCAAAGGGCGACAGATGGCTCTGCGCAACACAACAATCCACTTCATAAGCTGTCAGCGGACATCAAAGAAGCACAGGAGGTAATGTGAAAAACTGCTTATGTCAGATGTTTTGCACTTTTTACACGACCTCGAATATTAGAACAAACTAAATATATAGCTCAAGATTCTGCATGGATCAACTAAAAAAAAAAAAAAGGATCAAAAGGTGTGCAGGTGTCCACCCAGGAGAGATGCTGTGGTCAGAGTCACTGTTTTCTTTTCACGGTTTCACACACAGTGCAGGGGGGTTCCTCTCTCTCCTCTTTTTGGAGAATTTAAATGTGCATACACAAACAAAGTGTGCGTCTGTTTGAGTGTTTGTGTGTGCGCCAGGTGACGCACAGCCAACTACCAGTGTCAAGACAGAACCAGTCTGCACAGAACAGCAATACCTTTACACTACTTACCCACGCCTCATCACACTCACCGACCCACGCACACACGCACACACTCGCACTAAGTTAGATGAAGACGGGAGGATGAAAAACTCGCCATGTTTTTCCTTCGTCTCCTCGGTATTCCAACACTTGATCACTGACGTGTTACAGTACATGCTACAGTTAAATAAGAAGTAACCCACTCATTCATCAGTTCTTTACGGTTTCATCATCAGGTTTTTGTCTGGACTGGATTCTGCTCTAAATCTAATTATAGGGTTTACCTTTGTTGATTTGTTTCCACAGGATAATTCAATAGTATTAATCAGGCAGGTGAAAGGAACACAGTGTTAAGTCCTTTAAACATCACTTAAAATGACAAGATGTAACATGACATAAAGCGTTCATCTCCTCCGTCCAAAGTGGCTTTACACTACATATTTTTATCACATTTGGCACCGCTGGGGCTGGAAGTCCTGGCACTCTGCCCCCGACTCCCACAGAGGGATTTAGGGACACATTTTCTCCTGGCTGCCACTGACGATGAAGATGAGCAGAGCTGACACTCGGAGCAGATATTTGGCTTGTCAGGTGTGTTCGTTCCACATCAGGGCACAGCGAGTCACACACATTCACTGCTTAGCAGACCGATCATCACAAAACACAACCAGAGGACCCATGAGACGGATTTCAGATGGCTGATCTACAAATTTGCCCTATTTTAGGACTGGGAATGTTATGATACGGATAAAAGAGAGAGATTAGTTCCTACAGAGAAGGGCAGAAACAATTAGTCAAATAGCTGATTCATCGATTAAGCGGAGGGCTGGATGGGAGAAACAATCACCTCTCAGAACTTCTGATGGACATTTTCACATTTTAAAGACTAAATCAATCAGTTAGTTGATCAAAACAATTGACAAATGAATGAATAATGGAAATATGTGTTAAGTTGTGTAGCTACACACAGATTTCTATATATAAATACATATAAGTGTGTATTCTTAGTGCGTAGGTAGGTGTGTGTGTGTGTGTGTGTGTGTGTGTGTGTGTGTGTGTGTGTGTGTGTGTAGTGAATCTGTTGGGGGGGAGCGGGGGGGGGAATGTTGCCTTGACTACCGGAGTGTGAAGGTATGATGTCCAACAGCAATTGGTTATTATGGATGTAGCATGCACGCACGCGCACACACACGCGTGCACACACTGCCTCTGCGACAGTACCGAAATGAAAACACCTGAGTCGTGACGAGGTTACGAAACAGCCTCACAGCACCGACAAACGGACGGTTGAACACACACACACACACACACACAAACCGTTGTCAATGTTCACCAACAACAGAAAACACGGACGGACGGACGGACAGCGGTCGGTTTGAAAATACTCACGCTCTTCTTCCGCAGGTGCAGCCCGTGCTTGAGTAGCCCCGGCAGGTCCCGGATTTTGTGTTTGAGCTGAGCCTGGTCCCGTGCGCTCCGGTTCCACCGCAACCCCGCGAGTAAGCCGTCCTCTGCGGGCTCCGAGTCGTCCATGGGTCCTTTTACCGGCTCCGGTCTGTCCTCGAGCTCCCGGTGTCTTACTGTATCCTCACGAGGCGCACCGCCGCCCGCGCCCGTTCGCCATTTCCCCCCGCCTCGCGCTCACACTCGGCGACCTGCATCTGCAACCAAAGCGCGCGCAGCGTTTAACGACCTACCGAGTGTGATCCGCAGCACGCGACGCCGCTGCTCCACCCAATGGCTCGCGCGTCTTACTCCTGAACACCGCCAGGTTCATGT